CTATATCATGTTTGTTTATAGACCTGGGCAGCCTGTGAGATGAAGGTCTCTCCTTGGGGAGCTCTGGCCAGATGGGGCTATTATCAGGGCTGGGGATTCTCAAGAGAGGATATATGTCAATCCCTCGTGGGCCCTGTGAAAAATGTTTAGGTCACCACATGCAAAAAACAGGATACATAATTGAACATGCAGTATGATCAGAGGACTACCAAATTATGCATTTGTAAGATGCTGCATTCAAAAATTGATGTGGGTAGTGAGGGTAGGAAATGCCTTTTTCCTTTCCTTTCCTTTCCTCCCCTTCATTTCCTCTCTTCCTTCCTTCCTACTTTCTGTCCTAATTTCCTTTAAGCCTCCTTTCCTCCTTTCTCTCAATAAATACCATGGGCCAGGCATTGTGCTAGATACTGATGATAATATAGTAAAAATGGAAAAAAAAAAAGTCTTATCTTTAATTGTACATTATGCATTTTCACAAACCACTTTTTAAAAATAATAAAAAGGCATATTTTGACATACAAATAAATATATTATTAAAAATAACAGGTTGTGAAACTTTCTAAGACAATCATGGAACCTGGCATATTGACTGGATTGCTGACGCTACTAAAGATTTATTGGCAATAGTTAGCCATGATCAAAGTTTTCTGTTTTTTTTTTTTTAAGGTGGGGAAATCTTAATGTTTTAGCGATACGTACTGAAGTATTTACAGATGAAATTAACATGATGTCAGGGATTCTGACTCAAAGTAATCCAACAGCCAGGTAGTGATAATTGCTGATGCTAAGTGGAAAGTACATAAGGGTTATTATATGAGCTTCTAGTTTTGCATAAGTTTGAAATTTTCCATAATAAAAGCAAAACAAAATCAAAATATATGTAAGTACAATGGGACAAGTCTGATGGAAAATGCTGAGGTCCTGGGGGGTGTGGGCGTGTGGAGGGGGGAGGGATGGAGAAAAGGAGAGTAGGTACCTAGGCAGAAAAAAGAAGATCTAAAAAAAAATTTTACCTCCTTCTACTTCTAGCATTATTAAATTTCATCAAACGCAAACACATCCCTCCAGTATTCAGGTTGTTCATTATAGAACCATAACCTCTGCCTCCATGGGTCCCCAGTGCACTTTGTATGGTTTGACAACAGTATCTATTCTGCTATATTAGCATTCATTTATGTGTCTGACTTCTCTATTGACTCCAGGAGGGCTACACTTTCCCATTCTTGAGTCTCAGTTCTTCATACTGGGCTGGGCATACAGTGAATACCTTGTTAAACTGATCTCACAAAATCCTGGTACAATAGATAAGTTTGTAAATGTTTCCCCTAAAATTGCAATAACTGATGTCACAGGTCAGAAAGAATCTGTACATGAAATATAAAAGTTAGATTGGCATCTTTTCCCAGTTCAGAGCAGCGTGTTGATTCTGCCCACACAAAGAACCTCTCCCTTTCCAGCTGGAGTAGGAATCTGTCTTGGGCCAAGTTTGTCGTCAAAGGAATTTCCAAAGAGCATGCAGGCCTGTGCTACCCCACTACTCATTCTCAAAATTGAGAAAATAAAGCCAAATTTGGCATTCATGTCAGGAGAAACCACAACCATAAAAGCAAATTTCAATTCCAGTGATCAAGTTGAATACCACTGTATGGGATTTGAGTGACTAGATGTACTGTTAGATATTTAGCCATCTCAAGGCCCAATTCCCTTAAGATGTTAGGGGTCATTTTTATGAATGAACAGGCTAGCAATGAGACTTTCTCATTATCTACAAGGTACCTTTAAGTGAGAAGGGAAATTTCTCAAATCTAACCCTCACTCCTACTTGCAGAATGTATTGAAGGAATCTCAACTCCACCATGTCCTGAAATGAACTAAAACCATCTCCAAGTGACGTCTTCCTCCTGCGAGCCTCATCTTGCTGAAAGGTGACGACCACCCTTGTTGAGTGGCAGCCCTCGCTAGGTCTGCCCTGCCCAGTACCCACAGCAGACCAAACCACCAGGCACATTACGCAACTGCATGCAACTGTGCATGCGTGATACCTCACGAATATCACACAACCCGTGACCATGTGGCAAGGTGGCACCGGGGGCCCTGACTACAGAACCTAGACATCAGATTCAGATGAGGCTGAAAGCAATCACATTAGACTCTGGCAGTAATATGGGTAGAGATCTAAGATCTGAGAGACGCATATCTGTGTCACCGTCATCAGAGTCTGGGGAAGCCTGAGAAGCTGAGCTCAACGACATCTCTCAGACTCACCTGATGTTTTTAGCTATAGAGGGATCCTTTGTATTTATTAATACCCTGTGGCTCAGATGGTAAAGAGTCTGCCTGCAACGCAGGAAACCCAGGCTCAGCCCCTGGATCTGGAAGATCCCCTGGAGAAGGGAGTGGCAAAACACCCCAGCATGCTTGTCTGGAGCATCCCATGGACGGAGGAAGCTAGTGGCTACAGTCCATGGGGTCACAAAGAGTCGGACGCTACTGAGTGACTTTCACTTTTATTTTCTTGGGTTTATTGCAGCAAAATGTCACCTGTATCCGGTTTATGAGTTGAGAGAGCTCATTTTCACCAAGCCTCAAGCCTCTGCCTGACTAAGCCTCTGCCTAATTAAGCCTCTGCTGGGCTAGTTCCCAAACCCACCACAAGGTCAGCGTGATATATTTTAAGCTTGAATTAAATCACGCTATCATCCCTTCAAACCCTTCCACATCCACATCCAAGGAGCTGCTTTCTCTGAGTTCTAGTCCTTGGGTCCTCCCTTCCCTCTCTGGGCCCAGGGTGGTAACAGCTCCCCACTGTTGCCAGCTGCTGGAAACTTCGTCATCACCTGGCCAGCCCTGTCCTTGACTGAACCTCTATAAATAGCCCATTCGTTAAACCCTCTTTAGTCATCCCATTTGAATGTGCCATCTATTTCCTGCTGATAAATACACAATTTTGTAAAATAAGAATAAAAAGGGAAGGGACTTCCCTGGCGGTCCAGTGGTTAAGAATCCACCTGCCAAAGCAGGAGACATGGGTTCGATCCCTGGTCTGGGAAGATCCACAGGCTGTGAAGCAACTCGGCCCATGAGCCACACACAACTATGAGACAATGAGCCTAGAGCTCATGCTCTGTGGCATGAGAAGCCATGGCAATCAGAAACCCGTGCACAGCAGCTAGAGAGCGGCCACTGCTCGCCTCAACTAGAGAAAGCCCACATGCAGCAACAAAGACCCAGTGCCGCCAAAGAAAAGAATAATGAAGGGGAAAAAAAGAAGAGGCAGTTGCTCCTCCAGAGAGCAAGCTATACTCTTTCAGCAGTGTAGAATAGATGAGGAGATAAAAAAATATGTCAACAGGAGAGGATCAGAGGCCTTCTATCTGTGCAGTGTGATATATGCTGGATGTGGCAACTCAATGAAAGTGGAGGAAAATACAGGCTATTCAATAAACGATGTCAGAACCACTATCTAACCACACAGAGAAGTAAAGCTTGTACCATACACACTGGGGAGGTGCTTACTTACAAGTCAAGTCTCAAAACTAGACCCTCAGCTCCTCCATACTTAGCACATATTCAGAAACTCAAACAATCACAGAAGTTGGGATAAAAACAGATGTACCTCAATAGAGCTTCTGCACCAGATCCCTGTATCCTGTTAGGAAAAAGGATCATTCCCATTTAATAGATGAGAAAACTGAAACCAAGACTGATTAAATGGCTTATCCAGGCTCGCCTAAGAAGCAGCAAAGAGGACACAGTCAGTAGGGCCAGATCGTACACAGCTTTGAATTTGAAGGCAAGACATGTAACTGCTGAGTTTTGCACTGTTTTTCCCCACACCCAGTTTTATGTGCAGAGGCTTGAACACAATGAGTGCAGACAGCTGCTCCATGTCAGCAGAGGGGGAAATAATACCTGTTCATCAGGGAGCTAATTCTGCAAAGCACACCATCTAATCGGTACCATATACACGTAAATAGGATGCTCTAATCAGCAGGAAGACATGAACTGCAATCTATCCCTCATGGACCCAAAATATAATGGAGCAAAACTGAAGGTTTTATGATGCACAAAGCACTTTACTTGGAAGACTGATGCTTTTCTAGGTAAGGTGTTCATTTCCAGAACAAGTTCCCATACTTTCTGACATCCAATCCCAGGAAACCATGAGCACCAAACAAATAAACATCTGGGGCAGTTTTTCCATATTTTTGGAGTCTGTGGGAGAGAGCACAGAGCAAAGATTAAAAGCACAGATTTAGAAGCCAGGCAGGCCTGAGTTCAAGCCCTGCTCTACTATTTCGTAAGTCTGTGACCCTAGGTGAATCTCAGCATCTCCAAACCCTACCAGTAAGAGAAGGGTAATAGAATCCTATTAGAGTGCTGGGACATTCAATAAAAAAACAGAAGTAAAGTGTCAGCACATCCTTAACAAAGAGCTTTAACCATTACTATTAGGCTGATTTCCTTGTGTGACCCATTGTCTTATACAAACAACATTCCCCAGGCAGGGTTCTAAAGTGTTAGTAACCTAACCCTGCTGGATTGAGCACACTGGTTCTTGGAACACAGCCCTGGTATATTTTACTGGCCTGTACTTTTTTCCTTTAAATTTAACTGACAATAAATTAAAATGCTAACATTTCACATAAAAATCTGGGTTTCCACTTTCTCTTGGAAGAGTAAAAGGTGTGGTGACCAAACCTCTGCATTCCCTTCTGGCCACACTGAGGTATATTTGAATGGCAGCTGCCCCCTTTTGAAGGGCCACCATGGATTCTCTACCACCACAGCCCTATTGCCCCAATAGCCTGATCCCTCCAAATATCTGACTTTAGGACTCATTCTGATGTGAAGCTTTCTGTCCCCAACCTGAGGGTAAAAAATGTGGATTCAGCAAATGTAACACATTTGGCAAATGGCAACTTCTGATGTCATAACTGTGAATGTTGGAATTTGGATTTTGGAACTTGACAGAACTGAGTTTGATGTTAGGGCTCTGACACTTCTGAGCTGTGTGGCCTTGGGAGTGTTTGCCTCTGAAACTCAGCTGTCTCCGAATTAACACAGAATTTCACATTTCTTCTTCTGAAAAAAAGGGGGCTCAAATCCTGATCTCCCAAAGCAGGTGTGAGGATTAGGTGAGATGATGGGATCAATGCCTAGGACTTCATTTGCTTAGTTGCACATAGTACATAAGTCAAAGGAATTTTTGTTTTTTTTCCAGAACTGGTCCTTCATCTTAACGAATCTGAAGTTTTCACCTGGAGCCACTGGCTCCTACCTTCCAAATTCCATTGTGTTCACAGAGATGAAAGGTAATTTCACTGAATGATACTGAAAATGCTTTCAGAGATCCTTATTTTACCTCCGTGACTTAGCCAAGAAGTGTTTTTCAAACCCTTTCCATGAAACAGAAATCTATGTAATCTTAACTTTGGCCCTGGAAACTCTACTCACCAAACACACGTGATCTGCATCTACCCAGGTCAGATGCTGCACCTGCTGGATACCGGGGATAAAGCAGTGAATGGGACAGACGTGGTCCTTGAACCACGGACCACATGTACATGACTGCGCATGTCAGAACCTGGTCAGCTTCCTTAGGTCCAGCTCCTCTACCTGTCCCACATGGATGACAAGACCTCAGAGGTATAGGGAGAGTTCCTCTCTCCATCCCTCTCCACTTGCTGCCTCATCAGTCTTATCTCTTCGCTGCCCAAGTCTGAAATGTCTTTTTCTGGTTATCTGTATCCAGAGCGATGTCAAGATTCACATGTATCTAACTAAAATCCTCACAGGTATGAAAAAGGTATCATAAAAATATGAATGGGGGAAATTTATTGGTGGGCAACGAACTACAATATGACCATATTAATAGTCACAACAAAAGTAATGAGCATTTATTAAGCACCTGTCTCTTGCCAGGCACTGCACTATCACATTTAAGCCAGCAACAACTCTTCAAGGCATCAGAATCCATTTTTCAGACAAGGAAACTGAGACTCAGATCACACGGAGGCCCAAAGTCACACAACTGTCAATTTCAGAGGGAAGGTTGAATCCCAGGACAGTCTGAGTCTCAGGTCAGTGGCCCAACAATATAATTGTCTGTTACCTGCTTTAAAAATCAGCTTCTTTATATTTTACCACTCTATAAATATCTCTTCTCAAGTGGATATAGTAGGAATCCTTAAAATCTCTCAGCTGGAGACTGTACAATACAATAGATTGCTTTTTCTTTAAAATTAAGTCGTTTATTTATTTTTTTTTAAAGGAAAACAAAAACCTTTGGGAGACATGTTTCAAAATCTTCCTAATGAGGTATTTAGCTGATAATCCACAATGGCTTTGATTGTGGGATAAATATGGGATTGCTACTCAGACCTTCCGGAAAATATACGTAATTACAAAGATTAAGCAAAGTATGACTAACAAATAGTTTTTCAACTCCTGGCACGGAAAACTGCAGCATCAAGAGGCTTTAGGCTGGAATGTTAAGCATCATATCTGCCCCCCAAACACCCTCCAAGGCCTTTCTGCTGCATGAACTCTCTTCCTGAAGATTTGAATGAGGTGCAACATGGTCTGTGATGAAGTAGAAAGCCAGCCCTTTGGCCCTACCCCCTTCTCGGGTCCACCACTGCCCCTTTACGAGTCAGCCAGCCTCAGAGCTCTCAGCAGCAATTATATTATGAATGATTCCAGGTTCTTTTTATTGGGAAGGTTTTGAAGTCATGAGATTTGAAAGCAAACAAGACCCTGGGTGTTTAAATCCTGCCAGATGGGAGGAAACTTCCAGAGCTGATGGATAAGCTGCTGGCATTGATAATCATGATGTTTTCACAAGTCTATACTTAATCTCCAAACATATCAGGTTGTATATATTAATTACCTACAGCTTACTGTATGCCAATCATATCTCAGGAAAGCAGTTAAAAACTGTTATATTGATTAGTTACTTGGATGTGTAATAACGGACCAAATGTACTTCAAGACCTTCATCCTAAGGATTTTGTTCAGAAGGCATGGGTGAATGTTGTGACTGTCTTACTTCTTCCCTAAGGACAGTTCAAAAACCAGCCTCAGGTGGTCTTCTAAGGAAATATACTCTGAGCAGTTAACAAAATATACCCTGTCAGAGGCAAAAGTCAAATACCATATGAGGCTGACCTCTGTTGCCTTCCAACCATGCTCTCTAAATTCTATAATCTGCTCCAGAACCCCATTTTGCCAAGTTCTGTGCCAGGGGCTGAGGACATGCCGATGAACATGAGAACACAGCTACTGCTGTCTGGAGTTTAGATGCCAGTGTGGAGACAAATATTAAGAACCGATTGCTGAGTTAGTGACAAGTGCAGAGAGACATAGTAGAAGTTAAGAAAGCAGAACAAGGGCAGCTCTGCCAGATCTCAGGAGAGTTTGGGAAGGTCTATTGGAGGAAGTGACAGTGGCAAAGCAAAGTATCTTGGGTGAACTTGAGGATGCCCAGCAGGGGTCAGGGTAGGGAAGCCTGGAGTCTGGATAAGGCTGTTGAGGCTGCAGGGCTGGGTCTTATGTGACTCAGATGCTCAATCATGTCCAACTCTTTGTGACCCCCATGGACTGTAGCGCAGAAGGCTCCTCTGTCCATGGGATTCTTTCAGCAAGAATACTGGAGTGGGTTGCCATTTCCTTCTCCATCAGATCTTCCCAACCCAGGGATCAAACCCGTGTCTCTTATGTCTTCTACAATGGCAGGCAGATTCTTTACCACTAGTGCTACTTGGGAAGCCCTGGGTCCTACAAGGCTGACAAGCAGGTTAAGGACTTAGGACTCTATTTCTAGGTCAGTGGGAAGCCACTGATGGGCTCTAAGCATGGAGTCCACTGTGAAAGGTGACCACAGCAGTGGAGTGGACGTTGAGTTGGAGGCAGTGGTGCAATGGAGTGAGCTTGCACGGCAGAGAGCCTCATGTGCATCACAACTGCATGCCCAGTCATGGTGTTGGGAGCAGGATTTTGGCCATAGTGGGAATATTTACACCACAGCAATTGGAAAACACTTCAAATCCAGGTTCTCCCTGCCTCAGAGAGCCAATTGCTAAATATTGACCCTCGGGTACCACTGGCTCAAGTGGACAAGGATGGTGTGAGAAGACCAGTTAGGAACAGGAACCCAACAGAAGTGGGGGTGGGGTGGGACCAGGGTGGTGGCACTGGGGATGAAGAAAAGGAGGTGAGTGTGTGTCTGTCTATCAGCTGATAAAAGGGAGACAGAGACACAGAGGTGTCAAATATTTCTAAGCACCTCCCATGTCCAGGTTGAGGATGCAGAAGGGAGAGGACAGTCCGCATGTCTTCAAAGAGAATCAGCCCCACCACTGCCCACCCCCAGCTCTGAGAGTGCAGCAAGATTGTCCCTGATGACGCAGGGCAGCAATCCTGGAGGTGCAGAGCTTTCTGGTCACTCTCCAGGGCCTTTCCTAGGAACCGCCCTCTTAATGTCGCCTTCCAGATGAGGGTCCGGGCTGGTCAGACCCTGGCAGTAAGTTTACTATGGCATTTGCAGGCTAAGTTTACCCTGCTTGGGGAAGGTGCCTCATACGAGCCTGTTTCTTTTGCTACTTCTACTATACAGTTTGTAGGGGCTGGTAAAGAGAGAGAGACTCGAATAGTCTAAGAAAACCTACCAGCTCATGAAACCCACCATATACATGCTCTGGATTGACGGAGTACTTGGAGTGATATGACTGGAATGTAAATTCACTGCTCTCTCAAGTTTCTCATGGTGTGATCATCTCCCTGCTTCAAAGACAATCTAAGGGGTTTTCAAGAGTAACGTAATCTACAGGCAATTTTTTTTACTGAAGTTAATTTACAATGTTGTGTTAGTCTCAAGTGTACAGGAAAATGATTCAGCTATACATATATACACATATATATTCTTTTCTCAGACTCTTTTCCATTATAAGTTATTATAAGTATAGAGTATGGTCCCTGTGCTATATGTCCTTGTTTATTTTACATATAGTTGTGTGTATGTGTTAATCCTCAAATCCTAAATTATCCCCCCATAGCCGCTTTGATAACCATACGTTCGTTTTTTATATCTGTGAGTCTATTTCTATCATATAAATAAGCTCATTTGTATCATTTTTTTAGATTCCACATATAAGTGATATTACACAATATATTTTTCTTTGACTTTCTCACTTAACATGATAATCTCTAGGTCCATTCGTGCTACTGCAAATGCCATTGTTTCATTCTTTTTTGTGGCTGAGTAATATTCCATATGTGTGGGTGTGTATTGATATATATGTATATATACACTTATATAAATTCATTGGTTGATGACCACTTAGATTGCTTCCATGTCTTAGCTACTGTAAGTAGAGCTTCTATGAACACTGAAAATTGCCTGCAGGTTGCATTACCCTTGAAAACCCCTTAGATTGTCTTTGAAGCAGAGAGATGATCACACCATAAGAAGTTTGAGAGAGCAGTAAATTTACATTCCAATCATATCACTCAAAGTCCCCCTTCAATCTAGGACCTGTGTATGGTGGGCTTCATGGACTGTAGGTGTTTTTTAGACTATTTGAGTCTCTCTCTTGAATGTAAACAGTGACAGACTTTATTTTCTTGGGCTTCAAAATCACTGAGGACAGTGACTGCAGCCATGAAATTAAGATACTTGCTCTTTGGAAGAAAAGCTATGACAAACCTAGACAGTGAATTAAAAAGCAGAGACATCACTTTGCTGACAAAGATCCATATAGTCAAAGCTATGGTTTTTCCAGTAGTCATGTAGGGTGTGAAAGTTGGACCATAAAGAAGGCTGAGCAAAAAAGAATTGATACTTTCAAACTGTGGTGCTGGAGAAGACTCTTAGGAGTCCCTTGGACAGCAGGCAGATCCAACCAGTCAATCCTAAAGGAAATCAACCCTGAATATTCACTGGAAGGACTGATGATGAAGCTCCAACACTTTGGCCACCTGATGTGAAAAGCCGACTCACTGGAAAAAGACCCTGATGCTGGGAAAGACTGAAGTCAGGAAGAGAAGGGGATGACCGAGGATAAGACGGTTGGATGGCATCACCGACTCAAGGGACATGAGTTGAGCAAACTCTGGGAGATAGTGAAGGACTGGGGCGCCTGGTGTGCTGCAGTCCATGGGGTTGCAAAGTCATGGGACATGACAGAACAACAACAAGGAACGTTTAGGTGCGTGTATCTTTTTCAATTAGAATTTTCTCCAGATACATGCCCAGGAGTGGTACTGGTGGATCATATGGTTAACTCCATTTTTAGTTTTTTAAGGAACCTCCATACTGGCTGCACCAATTTACATTTCCACCAACAGTGTAGGAGGGTTCCCTTTTCTCTACACTCTCTCCTGCATTTATTGTTTACAGACTTTGGTGTGAGGTGGTACCTCACTACAGCTTTGAGTTGCATGTCTCTAAAAATTAGCGATATTGGGTATCCTTTCATGTGTCCGTCAGCCAACCTGCAGGCGATTTTCACTTCTGATTCTGACATTAGGGGTTAGTTCCACCCCCACTACTACATAGTATCGTGCTCCGGCAGTCAAGCTCCCTGTCCTCCCTATAAAGTTCCTTGAGGACAGGAGACATGTTCTATTTCCCTTGGGATCCAGGTCCTGGAAGGGTAGCCCGCAGTTGAAATACATCTAAATGCAGGGAAATAACATTAAGGTCGACAGTTGATGAATGAATGAAAGATACAAGTCTCTACAGAAAGGTTCTATCATTCATTCCACAGCTCTGTCAGAAGGCACAGGCCCATAGATCACTCAGTGACTAGTCACCCATTCACAACTCTCATCTGAGATTTATCCATAGTTCTACTCACTCAGAGTAATAATAAAGTATCATTTACATAGCTCAGGCGGAAAAAGGACTACCATTGGCAGAAACAACACTTTGAGATTTTCAACCCTAGGTTCACATTCTGGCCCTGACACAGATAAGCTGGATCGCCTGAGACATGCTTCTCCTTGGACCTTGCGTCTTCATTTCCTTATTTGTACAATGGGATTGGGTTCTAACCAGCTTGGCAAAATTGGGAAGATAAAATGAGCAAATCTATGTGAACATCTGCAAAGGAATTCTTGCTCAATAAATGTGGTTTTTTTCCTTTCTTTCCTCCTGACCTTAATATATGCATGTCTGCTAGAAGCCCCGATGCTCTCATTGGAGGGTTCCTTTACAAGCAGCTACTTCCCGTGAGTCAGCCAGAAAGAGGACGTCTGCGCAGTATGGTGCAAGATTATTTTCGTTCTCTCTCTCTCCCTGCCTGCCTCCCACCCTCTGCCTCTTTCCAGGAGAGTCTAAGAAAATAGTTCCTTTAAACATCCCTTCCTCCTGCCAGGAGTTAATACACATCACACCTTCTCTGATGCACATCTGTTACAAATTAAGTACAATGGAAGAATTGCCTCATTATGTCAATAGCAACTTGTGAAAAAAAGCATATAATTATTTATTTGCTTATAATTTTCTTGGCGCTATGAATTGGGGCTTTGGAAATAACTTATTTTTGCTAATCCAATGTGTCAATTGCCTGCTGAAATCACCTAAAATGGAGCAACTTTATGATCATTTTGATCCAAATTATTAGAAGAAAAGAAAAGAGAGATAGAACAAATGTGACATACAAATGGCCTGCTTTGACCAAAAAAAGAAAAAAAACCCCAACTTCTTCCTTGAGGCCTTCAAATAGCCACAATTTGGATGATTACTGATTTTTCTTTTTGGGGGGTCTTTTATTCCTCAGAATCAAGAGTTTCAAACCTTCTCTACGTCAGATTAATAGCAATAATAAAATAGCCTCTTGGTGTAACTAGATCCGACTAAAGCAGGTGGAGGCTGCTGTTTCTTTAGTCAAAAGAGAGCCAGTATGGTGTTGAGAGAGGCAAAGTCTTTCCTGGCCAGTGTCTGCAGGGGGAAGAAAGAGGTGGCACCAAGGCCAGAGGTCCTCCCACTTCCAAGCCCAGGGGCTCCTCCAGGGTGGGACTGCCACACAGGTTCCATCTCTCGTCCCCCAGCACTCAGCCTCACCCGGAGCCAAGAGCAGAGACTCAGTGTTTGTTGAAACACTGCTCATCCCACAGATCAAGCTTCCAGAATGATTCCCTGAAGGTAAT